TAGCTCCTTCTGTGACACAGAACTGAAGTGAAATGGTCCACTAACCCCTTCTGTAACACAGAACTGAAGTGAAATGGTCCACTAGCTCCTTCTGTAACATAGAACTGAAGTGAAATGGTTCACTAGCTCCTTCTGTAACACAGAACTGAAGTGAAATGGTTCACTAGCTCCTTCTGTGACACAGAACCGAAGTGAAATGTTCACTCTTCTATCCACCTGGTATCTGGAGAGTCCCTGAGTATAAGAGGTGATGGAACCAGAGATTTTCTTTGAGGGGAAAAATCTGCTTTGGTATCCCAAAGAGATTTATGAAAAACGGTGAATTCTAAGAACCTACTGTTTGAGATGGAACAATCCCTAAATTCATCATGCATAAAACTACAAAACCCCTCTCTGAGCCCCTCCCCACAACCCCATCTCCTCTGCTTCTGTACCCTGAAGTCACCATTCAACTGTACAGTATAAATGGGATACATTTATCAGGGCAGCTCAATCTGAGCCAGCAGGCCACTCTGCCACATGCGTAGAAATTTATTCTGATGGTAACTACTGCAGGGCTGTCCTTTTCCAGGTCTGCTTTAAGCTGGAGCCTCCAGAATCTTGATCCCATCTTGGCCTGAGGTTCCTAACCAGTCACCGCCTGCCCCTCTGAGCACCCAGGAGCCCGTGTGCCCAAGACACTTCTCCAGCCAGGCACCAAACAACAACTAAAACCAGAAGAAAGCTCCAGACAGTCTGACATTTGCTTCATGAAATAATAGCTCATTAGTTCCTTTCAAATGGATTAAGGAAGCAAGGGAAGCCAGCTTTCTGCTAAATTTGGTTTTAGATGAGGAAATGTTTTCTGCCTTGTGGGGACTTGGCCTTTCCCCCTCTAAATAGAAATTTCTTTAGTGAAAAAACACATCTTCTCTTCCAAAAATAATGCCCTCTATATTTGAAACAGCTAGCTAGATGTGTACTAAAAAAAAAGTAAAGCTAGCCTGGCTGAGGTGTAGATCCATGGTTTCCATAGCACCGGTAGCATGCTCCAGCCAGGGATCAAAGGATGATGACTCACCCCAAACTAAACCCATTGCCTTTGAGTGCATTCCGATGCAAAGAGATCCTATGGGACAGAGTAGAGCTGCCTCATAGGATTTCCCAGTATAAATCCGTGTGGAGGCAGACGGCTTCATCTTTTTCCCTTCAAGCAGCTGCTTTGTTTGACCTTTTTGTTAGCAGCTGAGCTCTTTAACCACTGCGACACCAGACTGCTTGATGACTCACCAGTGTTAAAATCTGGTTTTCATGTTCAAACCACCAGGAAGCTCTGTGGGTTTAGTTGTTGTTTAAAATAGATTCTGAAACATGCTGACTCAGAGTCTCTCAGGCAGTGGGCCCATGAATCTGTATTCTGAACAAGTTCCCCAGTTGGATTTTAAACAGCCAGCTCTGTCAGTTCCTGCCCAAGGTCCTATAAGGGCACAAGTGATTCCAATGAAAACAGTCAACTCCTTTAATTCGTGGGATGCAGGTTTATCCCTCTTGAGAATGAGGAAAGCAGTGTGTGTACCAATGTTCATTTCCCCCAAGTTTAGAGCCAACTGGGAAATACAGTGGTGGGAAGACAGACTCTTCTTCCTCTTGTGGAGTCCTTTACACCCAGCTGAGCTCTCAGCTACCTTGTTGGTCACCCCAGGCGACAGTCAGAGCAAGTCATCCTGCAGCAGAGATGGCCTGCCTGCCAAGTCATCCATTGCCCAAGCCAGGACACATTAGACAATGCAAAGCTGTAATAATTATGTCAAAACAGTGAGCAGCAATGTCACCTAACTTAAGAAAACCAGTTGCCAGAGAGTTGATTCTGACTCATAGTAGATGGCAACTAGTTTTGGAGTCCTGGGGTGCTGCAAACAGTTAATGCACTCAGCTGCTAACCATAAAGTCAGCCGGCCCAGAGGCGCCTTGGAAGAAAGACCTAGCAGGCTACTCCCAAAAAATCAACCATTAAAAATTCTTCAGAGCAACTTGCTTAGGTCTCCATTTTAAATATCTTGGACTGTGCTTTCTGCCTCCCAGAAAATACCTTCAATTCACACATCACTTCTCACACTGAATGCCTACTGCACCTAGCTAGATGGATGAAGAGTGTGTGTGAAGTCATGGAAAAAGGTTCTCTGTTCTGACATATTGAAAGGAGATGAATCGGGTGTCTGGATAAGACCCTGATGCAGGAATCACTTCTGCATTTTTCTTCCCTCCTTTGATGACTCTCATGGAGGGAACACAGAATGTAAATAGAAGAAAGAAAGATCTTTTGGCTATACTTTTAGTACTGTGTCATGTTGAAGGAACTCTGGTAGCGTAGTGGTTACAAATTGGGCTGCAAACCACAAGGTCAGCAGTTAGAAACTACCAGCTGTTCCGTGGGAGAAAGATGAGGCTTTCTGTTCCCGTAAAGATTTACAGCCTCGGAAACCCTGTACAGGGTCACTATTAGTCGGAACCCACTCCACGGCACATAACAACACCACCTTTTTCCCTAATAAAATCAATGTTTGCAGGGTTAGGTTTTGTTTTTCCCCCCTCATCATTGTGAAGTGTGAAAAAACTGTGTAAACTGTATCACTGTACAAATTTATTTTAGAATTAGAAAAGCTAAACAAAAAAAATTAGATATGGAAAATTTCTCACAAAACCTATTAGCCCCCATTCTACCCCAGTTTTCTCCAAGGTGTAATCATTGTCCTGGGGCACTGTGGACAAATCTTTTCTGTAAGCGAAAATTGCTGACTCCCTCCTAAGAACACGCTTCTCTACCACCTCCTGTCTACCTTCCCTCGCCTCTTGGCTGACTCCGCTCCTGGATATTAGCTGTTTCCTAGTCCATCATTTCACCCAGAGGGAAAATTGAGCTCAGGTCTTTTTAAAACTAGAATTGGAAATCAATTTTTTAAAAAGAATGCTCTGGAAAATGCATTTATTAAGCAAGGCACATCTTCACTTGAAAAAGAAACCACAGTGAGAAAAACCAGTGAACAAAAGTTTTAAAATTGGAGTATGAGTATATTCTAGTCTACCTACTCTCCTTGAGTATACAAGGCCTCTTCTTCCTGCCCAGTTCTCAGGCCTGGTAAACCACCCTTGCTTTTTGCTGGTCTCACAACTTGAAAAATGAGATTACGTTTCCCTAGAGAGTCTGTCCTTAGAACAATTCTAATGTTACCAATACTATTATTAAAGTTACCTGTTTATCTATTTAAGAAAGCGTCTCTGAATAAAGTATGGATTGGGGAGGTGGCGGGGGGGCGGATTCTCCCTCATTTATTTTCAGGTGTATGTGTGTGTGTCTGTGGTTTTCCTTCCTTCTTCTTCTTCTTGTTATGTGCCATTGAGTCAGTTCCAACCCATAGCGACCTTGTATAGGGCTTCCAAGGAGCAGCTGGTGAGCTTGAACTGCCGAACTTGCAGTTCAAACGGCTTCGCAGTCTGTCTGGTGCATTAACCCACAGCGCCACACCAGGACTCTCTCCTCCGCCACCCCCACCCCACCAAGTATTTCCTTATTCACTTGTTAACTTCTTGAGTTGAGGGATTCCATCTTCTTTGTTTCCTGCTTTAAGCAAAATAATAAAACCCCCAACC